ATTATAAAGTATTTAAATATAGATATTGAGCTCTAAATTAAAAAAATGCCTAAACATTTTGATTCTGTGAGTTCATGTTTATAAACTGTGACGATTTTAAAGAAATAGTAATGCTAATTGGCCTTTTTGGCTGACTTTATCTAAAATGCTCATTATTATTCTACTTCAAAAATTGAAGTTGTTTTAAGGCAACCCAACGATCTGTAAGTCTGCTAGGACAAGTCATTGTTAGCTTCCATCTTGTGTCTTACAAAAACTAAGAGTGATAATAAATTGTGGCCATGAGATAAAAATTTTGTGGCCATGAGATAATAGCTTGTGGCCATGATACAATAATTCATGGCCATGAGATAATAACTTAAGTTCATGAGACAACTTGTGGCCATTAGATAATAACATATGGACATGAAATCATACATTCTGGTCATGGCATAATTTTGAGCAGCCGTCTCTTGGTGAGAGATACAGACATTACTGGAGTCAGATTATACTGTATATGAATACACTGTGTATATGTTTAACTGTTTAATCCAACAAGTATACCTCAGTTCTTCAATCTAAATGGTTCATTCTTCACAGTACTTGTATTTATGACATGACCCCGAACTAAACAAAAATAAATGGTAAATGGACTGTGCACCTTTCTATCCAATCGGGATACTCAAGGTGCTTTACACTAAACTGTCCTCCTTTACTCATTCACACAGAACTCTGAGTGGTGTGTGTCTGGAAACAGATTTTTTATTTGAGTTTCTTTTTACTTTTTTTTTTGTTTTGTGATGTTTTTACTTGTGTTCCTGAACATAACATAACTAACTCCTTCAGAAGGCATGGAGTGAGAGAGAAACCTGTTTTGAGAGTTGAGCTTGAAATAAAATAAAACTATTTAGACAAACACGACTGCATACATGCAATTTCATCTATTTTTACAGCTGTGGTTTCTGAGTTTATATGCAATGCAAAAATGGCCGTATTGTACGTATTGTACAAGTGTAAGTGTTTGCCTGAACATTTAAAGACTGCAGCTGGTTTAAAACGGCAGCTGTATTTTGCTCTTGACTTGGATTGTCCACATAAAAATGATGGACAAAGTGTCTCAGCGGCACAAAGAGCTGAGGAACTGAAAGCCAACCCCAGACATACAAACCTATAAAATTGTGTTTTTAAGGCGTCAACTAACTTTTATCTGAGATGCAAATATCCCATTCATTTACTGTGATGTGAACTCATTCTGCAGCCGGCCTACAGGGGGCGCCTGTGCCTATTTGTTTTAAATGTTCTTTTCCTGGGTCCAGTTGTAAACATACTGTATGTCAGTGGTCAGTCTTGTTGCAGTTACACTTTGATTTTTCCAAACTAACATTCAAAGAGCTGTTGACATCAGATAAAACAAATAATAATTCATAACTTTTCCATAGAATCCCACATGAAAATACCTGAAATATCCCTTTAATTAGCACAGTAAAGTTCTCTAATTTTCTGGAGAAATAAAAAGTATAAAATTGAAAGCTGTAACCTGATCGTTAGGATTCTTGGGGGTCTGACAGCAGCCAAAGTCTTTGGCCACCTGGCTAGAGTTTCCACTCATCAGCGCTGCTTCAACATCAACAAACGCCTCCTGCACTTTAGCCAGACACTGTAGGAAGAGGATTAAACTGATTTTAGAACAAAATAAAGAAGTTAATGCATCGTGTGTCATGTTCACACCTTCTGTGAGCCTCCGACTGCCTCGTTCATCAGACTCAAACCAACAACCTTGCAGCGGAGGGAAAGAATGATTAATGTCGAGTTCTGAGCTGTGCTGCATGAGACTCCTGACAATATCAGTGGAGAGTTTGTTACAGACTGGTTACCATCAGAGTGTGGACTTCATCCTTACATTGTTGTAGGCAGAGAAGTCCAGCTTTGCCATGACCGGAGCTGACGAGGCCACGGCTCCAAACACCAGACTGGGAAACTGCAGATGGAGGCAGGAACAAACAGGTCATTAATGAGCTAAAAATAAATATAAATACTGTTTGTTGCACTTGCGTTTAAACTGAGGTCTGCTCTACTTTCTCACAAGTGAAGAAAAACTCAGTTTACACAAGAAACATTTGGTAAAATCTGCAACACCCTGCTTTTTAAATATATTTTAGCTGGCATTTAAAATAAAATCATTTATTGGATTGATTGTCAGAAGAAAACATCAAATCTTTTCATGTTGGAAAAATGTAATTCTTATAATTAAGATTGTGAAAATCTTTATCTGAGGAAACAGCATAAACATCCTCTAATCAGATCCCAACAACATATTGGTAAATATTTATTTTCTTTTGCTGGTGGACCTGAATCTGTTCAAATCAAACGTCTTAAAAGAATAATAATAATAAAGTTACACAATTGATTTTAACCATGATACAGTTATTTACAACTATCTGTGAACATTTGACCATACAGCAGCAAGAGCTACCCGAATCATCACCAGTCAACACCTGAAAACATTTCTGAGATGTACTTTTTTGTATCAAGAGCTTGTTTAGGACCTTGAGCTGATACCAAAGGATGCTGTAACACCTCCATCTTTATCCTCTGGCTCTCTGTATGCACTCGAGTAATTTAATACATGTCTATGGTGAAAATTTAGTAAACATGAAATAATTTTAAGGTATCTTCTTATAAAACATTATTTTACATGAATTGACAGCTGAGGTTGTGGTGGTTTCTCATCATCTGCTGCCTACTACTGAGTTTCAGTTCATTTTGTGATGTTTTAGAGTTAATCTCATTTGTAGTTCTCACCACTGAAGGCAGAACAAATATAATTTTTTGTCTGTGTTCATTTGTCTGTCTTTTAGCAAACATTTCTCAGGAACCACTGTTATTCAATGAACATCTAACTAAATGACATTTAGAATTATTTAATTTTACTGTTGAGTGGGCAAATCCCAATGAGATTACAGATCTCTTTTTTCAAGGGAGGCCTCCCTTAGCAATAAGTAATAATGCAATTATCCATGAAGTATAGTAATTTTAAACTTGAAATAAAAAAGTAAACTTCCAGTTTACTTTTTATGTACCCATCTGAGATATACTCAACCAAGTTTATCTTACACTATACTTGACTTGTACTAAAAGTATACTAAAAGTTTAAGTATACTTAGTTTATACTATTGTTTAAACTTTTGGTCAAGATAAACTCTAGTAGTACACTTTTCACACAGACCGGTTTATTTGTAGTATATTTCAAGATAAAAAAAAGCTATACATAGTTTAATTTCAGTATACTTCTGAGTATACTTTCATAAACTTTTTGTGGGCCAATTTAGTCTTAGAAGTCTGTTTGTTAGGAAACTGCCAGTATACTTATTTCAGTTTACATGGTAAATAAAAATACACTTAGGGAAATACACTTTTATATACTTCAGTATACTTAATGACATGTACTTAAAGTATACTTTTTTGTAAGTGTATAAGCTTTAAAAGACATGCTTAAAGTATGCTTAAACTATATCTTTTATAAAATACAGCGGGTAAAATAAGTATTGAACACGTCAMCATTTTTCTCAGTAAATATATTACTAGAGGTGCTAATGACATGAAATTTTCACCAGATGTCGGTAACAACCCAAGTGATCCATACATACAAAGAAATCAAACCATAAATGTCCAGAAATGAAGTTATTTGTAATAATGTGGAATGGCACAGGGAAAAAGTATTGAACACATGAAGAAAGGGAGGTGTAAAAAGGCAGGGAAAGCCAAGACACCAGCTGAACTCTCTCAGTAATTAGAAAGCAAGCCTGCCCCTTGTCAGTGCAAGTTAATGTCAGCTGGTTCAGTCCCAAATGATGGCCAGGTATCACACAAGAACCATCTGATGATGGGTAAAAGTAAAGAGCTCTCTCAAGACCTTCACAACCTTATTGTTGCAAAGCATAATGATGGCATCGGTTACAGAAGAATGTCTAAACTTCTGAAGGTTCCAGTGAGCACTGTTGGGGCCATAATTCAGAAGTGGAAAGAACATTATTTCACCATAAACCGACCACGACCAGGTGCTCCTCACAAGATTTCTGACAGAGGAGTGAAAAGAATTATCAGAAGAGTTGTCCAAGAGCCAAGGACCACTTGTGGAGAGCTTCAGAAAGACCTGGAATTAGCAGGTACGATTGTTTCAAAGAAAACAATAAGTAATGCACTGAAGCAGCATGGCCTGTATGCACGCTCACCATGCAAGACTCCACTGCTGAAGAAACAGCATGTTGAAGCTCCTTTAAAGTTTGCTGCACAACATTTAAACAAGCCTGTGTAATACTGGGAGAATATAGTCTGGTCAGATGAGACCAACATTGAACTGTTTGGATGCCAGAATACACATCATGTTTGGAGGTCAAATGGCACTGCACATCAGCCCAAAAACACCATACCAACAGTGAAGTTTGGAGGTGGGAACATCATTGTGTGGGCCTGTTTTTCAACATATGGTACTGGCAAACTTCAAATAATTGAAGGAAGGATGAGTGGAAAAATGTACAGAGACATTCTTGATAAAAATCTGCTTCCATCTACCAGGATGATGAAGATGAAACGTGGCTGGACATTTCAGCAAGACAATGAGCCCAAACACAAAGCCAAGGAAACTCTCAGTTGGTTTCAGAGAAAGAAACTAAAGCTGCTGGAATGGCCCAGCCAATCACCTGACCTGAATCCAACAGAAAATCTATGGAAAGAACTAAAGATCAGAGTTCATAGAAGAGGTCCACGAAACCTTCAAGATTTGAAGACTGTTTGTGTGGAAGAATGGGCCAAAATCACACCTGAGCAATGCATGCCGCTAGTTTCTCCATACAGGAGGTGTCTTGAAGCTGTCATTGACAACAAAGGCTTTTGTACAAAGTATTAGATAAATTTCAGTAAGTGTGTTCAATACTTTTTCCCTGTGCCATTCCACATTATTACAAACAACTTCATTTCTGGACATTTATGGTTTGATTTCTTTGTATATATGGATCACTTGGGTTGTTACCAACATCTGGTGAAAATTTCATGTCATTAGCACCTCTAGTAATATATTTACTGAGAAAAATGGTGACGTGTTCARTACTTATTTTACCTGCTGTAAAAATGTCCCAATTTAGTACAAACAAGTTTTTAAATCAATATACTTTCTAGTACACTACAAGTACATGGTGCCTAGTATTCTTGATATACTTGAACTCATACTCAAGTATACTTAACAAAATAAACTTCAAGTATAAGGCAACCTATTGTACATGTTTTTTGTGGTTGGGGAAACCGGAGTACCCGGAGAAAACCCACACAAGCATGAGGAGAACATGCAAACTCCACACAGAAAGACCCCAGGTCCGAACTGGGGATTGAACCCACAACCTTCTTGCTGCTAACAACAGAGCTGTCGTACTGCAAAATGATGATGTCATCATCCTGAGACAGTAGCAACCAATAGCGCTCCAGTGCAGCTAAAGCTTCCCTACAAGACATGAAACTTCAAACTGAAATGAAACCAGCAGAAAGTATTAATTGGGTGTACGTCATCAGTAAAACATTTTAGAATGATTACTACAACCAGTTAACAATAGGAAACCCAAACTGTGACTCAGTTAATCTTACAGCTATGGAGCTAAAGCCTGGTGTGGTAGTAGCTGAGAGTCATTATTTAATTCTGTCTTTTTTCACCTTAAGATAAAACTCTGGCATAAACTGTGGTGGGCAGCATGGTAGGCCTTTACATTTGTTCAATTCAGGTTTTTGTTATCTAAGATTCAGATGCTACAGGTTGCATGTCTTTAATGCATCACTAAATGATTCATGTATGAGTCCCACTCTGCACCTTTCCTCTGAACCAGGCTGATAGAGCTCCAGAGTACGAGCCTCCAAAGCTGATCCAGGTGTTCCTGCAGCTCAGATTGAAGCTCTGGCTGATGTACTCGTGAAATACAGCCAAGTCAGCAAGCCTGGGGGAAAAGAGGAAGGCCGTGTTCAGCACATTTACAGATGGAAAAACGTACAAAACATTGCAAAAAATAAAATAAAAACGTAAAAAACGAAAAAAGGAAAGAAAAGGGGAAAAAAGGCTGAGGCATTAAAAAAACTAAATTGCTCAAGCTTTCTGTGCTCACAGAAATTCTTAATGAGAAAGGAAAAAAGAGAAACAGATTGCCATGTTTAGTAATCCTCACATCTGTCCTCATTATAGCAAACATGTGGACACTGAAGACAGAGGAGCTGCATGCAAACACACACACACTGATGGAGAGTGAGCACTAACGCTTGCTGACTGCTCAGGTCAACCAACTTCTCCGTTTTTAGTCCGTCAAGGTTGATGCTGTTGCCGTAGAAACGGTGTTCCACAGCCAGCAGCAGGGCGCCGTGTTCTTTAGCCATGGCAACATGATGACCTGGAAACACGTTTTTACCGCTGACATGATTTCTACGTACTCGGTTCAGGTTCTCTCAACAGGAAATACAGCTCCAGTACGTGACGGGATTAATATGTATAATCTGTACACTGGGAGATGATGTGATGAGCAACACTTCCAGAGAAATTCTGTAAGGCAGGATGATTTCAAGGCTTTTCTTTAATTTTGTGTACTACAGGTTTATTTTAATACATGTTTTATTTTTAACAGTTACAAACAGATTTGAACGTTTGAAACAACAGGAGAAGTTTTCAGAATATATTCAAACAGAATTTTGTAAAATGACAAATGATCCTCAGGTTACTGTTTATTAATTCTTGTTCTTTCTTTTTATTTCATCAGTTATAATGTGAAGCACTGCTGTGTTTTGGTGGTACAGGTTAGACCAGTGTTTCCCAAAGTTGGGGTCGGGACCCAAAGTGGGGTCCTGAAAAGATTTTCTGAATTAATTACATTTTTGCCTTAGTTGTTACAAAGGAGTGAGGTTAGTATATTTAAAATGGATAAATGTAGTATAAAAATATTGTTACTATGCCCATGTTTTGTTGACCTGATACAAATGTTTATCATCCAAACATAGTTGGGCACAGGTCTCTGCTACTGTTATTTTGTGGGTCAAAAGTTGAAAAGTTTGGGAACCACTGCACTTTGGTTCCCAAAGTTGGGCTTGGGACCCAATTATGGGTCATGAAGCACCTTGGATAATCTCCAGAAATCAATTTAAAGGGTAATAAAATAATTGCTGATGTAATATTTTCCCTATAACTGTTACAAAAACACAAAATAAGTATAAATGAGTATTTATATTTGTGTTCAAGCTGTTTAGATTGTCAAAAAGCCTGTGTTTTCAGGGTTATTAACAACGTTCGTGTACTCAGACCAGTAATATTTGGGGTCACAAGTTTTTGCCATGAATATTTTGTGGGTCAGAAGATAAAAAGTTTAGGAACCACTGGGTTAGACTGTAAACCCCTGAGTCCAAGCTTTGGGTCCTCGTCCACCACCAACCATTAAAACAGTTCAAAGCTGTTCTGATACATTAAACCTGAAAATTAATGGACGCTTTTCTTTGAACTTCTGTTAGAAAACTTTCCATCAACATGTTTCAGCCTGGTTGTCACTTATATCTGTTTAAATCAAGGGTGCCACATGAGCAAAATGGTTACCCTCAAAGGACCAGTTGTAATTAATGTCAGCATGTCGTTTCAGCTAAACAGGAACCATTATGTTCTGTGTTTCATTGCTATGGCTGAGCACCACTAACAAACAATAACTGAGCTCTATGTGGTATTTCCTGCATAGAAACAGGGTTTTATTATGTCCTCTTATAAATGCTTTAAAGAGGTAGCCTCAAAACGAATTGATCTGAGACACACTTCAGAAAAGGGGTGAAAGAGGGGCTTGTGGAGTTACAACAAGGAGGAATTCAGAGCAAAGCATACAGTTATATAGACCCCAACAAATGATTTAAATGTGAAAAAAGGATTTACACTTTAAAAATATTTTGTAGGGTTTTCTGTACCTCTGATAGTTTAACAAGTCGATGATAGGCTCCCATCTCTGCTTTGTTTGCATCACTGGTGTTGGTCATGACCTCACAGAGCTCCTTTATGGACATGAGCACCCCCTCTTCATTGTACTCTTATAAACGCTTTAAAGTACTACATGTACAACTGACTAAACAAATAATAAAAAAATAAATAATAAATAAATAATAAAAAATACAATTAAAAGTAAAATTATGGGAGTTTTACTCACTTTTGAGTTGTGCTGCCATGTTGAGTTCTGAACTCTCCCAGTTTCTAACAGGAAAAAAAATTCCCACTGCAGGGGCGTTACAGTTTAAATTTACAACCAACTGAGCCGCAGCAAGAGTAGCTGATGAGGATACAGTGAAAAGGATATTTTACAGGTTACCAGTTGCCAGCTGCCTGATACTGGCTACTTTTGAACGCTGTGCACCTCCATCTAGTAGAGGGATGCCATGAAATAATCATTTTTGGTCAATGCTGGCTTTATTTAAAGACATTAATATGTATTTGAAGCTCTCACGGGCCACAAAAAATGTGGTGGGGGGCCACGTTTGGCCTGCGGGCCTTGAGTTTGACACATGTAAACTTTACATGCTGACACTGTCAGAAGACCTTAGGTCATGGTTTTTTTATTTTTTGTATTAGAGTTCATTTTATTTATTTGATTGATTTTTGAGAGTTTCTTTGTGAGTTTCTGTGTAAGTTTTGACATTTATTCATTTGTGTTTCTGTTTTTCATATTTTGATCAATCCTTGTATTAGGGTGTTTTTCTTCATTCTGCACTCAGTCAGCACTCTGTTGTTCAGTCAGCCTTCCACTCACACCTGTTCACAGTCAGTAATTATCCAGGTGCTGCCACTTTCCACTCAGCCTGTGTTCTATTTGACCAGTCTCTTGTCACGTCCTCACCAGCAGTTCGTTGTCTTGGGTGGGCTACCGGTCATGTGGTTCGGTCTGCCTCAGGCTTCTCTGGGTGCCCTGAGTTTGTGAGGTTTTGCTGTTGGCTGACGCTTTGTTTATCCAATTAATACGTTCTCATTTTGCTTGAGCTTCTTGTGTTTGAATGCATCTGGGTCCAAATCTACCACACTGACCTTTTTTTGTTTGTTTTTATTGTTTGATCAGAACGCACACTCCTGTTTGGACCTTTCTCATTGAGAAACATGGTTTTAAAAAATCTGTAAAATGTGATTCTAAGAGGCTGTGGTGTAGAAGTGAAGCCACAGGTGCACAATGTTGCATTTCACTTTACCTGCCAGAACATCAAACTCATAGATGGGCCCTTCTCCACCAATGAAGAGGAACACTGGACCATCAGGACGCTGCCAGTACGCCTCATTAACAAAGAATCTCTGGAGAACAGACAGATACGGTCAGAAAAAGACTTTTTAACTTTCACAGTAACTTTCACTTTCCTTTACTTGCATCTTTTTTTGTTTGTTTCAACTTAATTTAAGTTTTATTTGAGTGAAAAGTCTAGTTTAATTGTTGACTTTTGTCAAAAAAGAAACTCATTAGGTTTTCTAATTAGTCTTTGGCTAGACAACCTCTGTATTGAGCAGCAACGTTCTAACATGTAGCACTGATTTTTTCTGCTGACCTTGTCAAATAAAGCTAAACTATTCGAAACATATTTAAGCTTGAAAGTAAATAATATTCTTAAATATTTGTATGAATTCACAATCTGACCACAAGCTCCTTTGACTCAATGTAACCCCTCAGACCAATCCACTAAGTAGACCTCCACCACGGTCGCTCTAAACCTTGAAGAAGAGTTAAAAGTGCTGTGTCATCAGAAAACTTAACCTTCTGTAAAACACCTGCAGCTGTCTGTGTACAAAATAAAAAGAAAGGGTGAAAGAATAAAACCAGAACTTCTCATATGTTTCCATTTACCAGAGCCCTCTGTTTCCTGTCAGTTAAAAAGTTTGAAAACGAAGAATAAAAGCTGATCAGGAAGGTAAAAATCACCCAAAAGACGACTAATTATGACCCCCACACGCGAAGCATAAGTGGGAGTCATATTGTTTTCATACTGCTTTTTTTTTCAGTGATTTTTGGTCAATCGCAGCACAAAAACGGCTGCACCAATCAACATGAAATTTGGCAGGACTGTAGATGAGTCTGACCTACACTGCACCAGTCAACGGTTTTACGATAGACCCCATATTTGAGGAGGGGGCTCCTTTCAAAGTGGGGATGTCAGGACATGCAAAAATGCTTATAACTCAAAAACTGTTCAACATAGAAGCTTCAGATTTCTTTT